GTGAAGATTTGTGGCGGCGGGGCGCCCCCGCCCCGCAATTTTTCCCTGTTTGGGGCGGCGTCTCATACACGGTTTGCCGCTATTTGGGGCGAACGCGGAACGCCATGGGATAACAGTGGCCCAACTTCATCGCAGCGGCCTGAATTCCTTTTTACGCTAGTGCCCTCACAATACACGAAGGCGCTCTCCTCTCGCGTCCGAAACCCTCCCCGAACTCCCGAAGCTTCTTCTCTTCCCGAGCGAACAATGTCTCGCATCTCATCCTCTTCCCGAACAAGATCGTCTTGCATATTCGCATCCCCTCTTCTTTCCGAGCAGTCTCGCATCTCCTCCTCTTCCCCAACACCCTCGTCGAGGTCATCTTCCCAAGCGGTAAGAAAAAATTTTCTTTTTTCCTTTCAATGCTTCGAATCTAAGGAATGGTTCTTGAAATTTTTGTTTGTCTTGTAATTTTTTTTGAGAAGGGTATAATGCATCTTCCCATTTGATTCTCAACACACCCTAATTGAAGAACTCTCTTTTGCCCTCCTTTTGTAGAAGTAATATGCTACATGTGAGGTTAGGTGGCCTCAGTGCAACATTTTCTTAAATGGCCATCAATCCATTCATGCTATATGGATCTTTCTTGTTAAAACATCTCTACTTAGACATTTTTGTAGTAACCATAAAAGATAAGATGTGCCATCAAAATATAATAGACCTAAGAGGGGCCATCAAAGTTAAGAAGAAGAGCTTTAGATGAAAAAAAAAATGACTCACAAAAAAGAAGCTTAAGTAGGTCAATAGTGGTTTTACATGGTAGCAAATGCATAAAACGAGCACAGTGATAAAATTTGTGGTAGGATAAAAAATAAGATCGCAAAAAGTCAACTTACTCAAATACTCCAAGACTATGAAATTCTACACAATCAGTTGTATGTTGAAGAATCAAATGATACGAGTAAATTAGTGAGTACAATGGATTAACATATTGAGTCTAAATAAGGAAAAAATAAATACTATATATGTTATATAAAATAATTTTCTTATATGCTCAGTTAACAGATGTTGGTTGACATTGTGGTTTGCAAATAGTATCAACATTGGATGTGCCCACATTAGGATCTGTTAATAAAATATTATTTGTTATCTAGTAGATACAGTTTTATAGAAATCGTACAATTTATTTTTCCTCGTACTAATATGATAATTTGTTTGTTAATAGGTTTGCACTTTCAAAAGAATGAAGGCTGGCTAGATGAAGTTTTGAGGATATTATGGGCTATAGAGTTTTATAGTTTTGGAGCTCATTGTATAAGCTTTGATTTATAAATTTGTGCAATGAGATTTCTAAAATTTTATAGGTTCACACTCAATGATAGCAAGTGTATTTGGAAATATATATTTGATGTGTATTGGTGATTTTGAAAATTGAAAACTTTTACTACATCTAAAGAGATAAAAATATCTAGCCATTATTGTGTTGTTATCTATGCAATGCTATTTCAATGTATTATTTACCATTACAATTCTCAGCCATGTAAACCAATTTGATTCCTATGCTTATAGAGTGAATTTATTGTTGAATTGATTTTCCGCAGCTCTTAACAATGTTGCTTAGCCATTTCTATTGTTTTCCCTTCTCCATAGTTTTTGCACATAAGCTGACGGGTATTTTATATGTAAATCTATAAGAATTGTATGCTATACATCTAAATGCCATCAATATATATATAATCAATTAAACAATAATTATAATTATGTTTTTTTTATTATTATTTCTTAACTTAGCCCCAATCTACCCAATGAACTTAAGAGGGGCTTCTGGTTGCATGTATTTATATGGTGGGTTAAGCATTAGGTTAAACTAATTAAAATCATTTCCTATTATTTTCATTTTATTATTATTTTGTTTAATAATAATATCTATTTTCACCACAATTTCAAGTTAAACCATAACTTGGTTTGTATTTGTTTTTTGTTTTGGAAGATTTACATGAATATCACTCTATTCCCATGTATTTACATATCTAACCCCTATACTTCAATTATGACATACAAAACACCTTATTTATCCATGAAAATATTTATATCATTTTGTAAAGGTTAAAATGATGGTATTTTTTATTTGATATGAAAGATTTAGGTGGTATAAATATAAAAAAAAATAGACTTTATATATTATGCATGTATGATGTTAAAATATTCTTAATGAGTCTCATGAATGTAATTGAAGCATTTGTTGGCCACCATACCAGCTCCAATTAGTAATCTGATCAAACACGTCAGAGACAGCAAGCAATGATAAATTGAGGTCAAGATGCATCATACCAAATGAAGTGAACCAAAAATCACTCATTTGATGAAGTGCAGCTTGCAAATGTGTCCGAGACATAAAAATGACAGCACATTAAAAGCGACGACTTATACATAATGATATGTGAATCATATCAAAATAATTGTAATCATCATCAAGATTGCTCAAACGGCACTAATTTGAATAACTAACTTTGTTATTACATACATAGCATCAAAATATGTCAAATGTGATTTTTTGTAGTTGATTTAGGCTCTGTTTGGCTGAGTGTTTTTGTTGTTGCGCTACACCGTCCCGTGAATTTTTTTATGTTTGGGGCGGCGTTTTCTCCACTGTTTGCCGCGATTTGGGGCGAACGCGGAAAGTTGTGGGATAACAGTGGCCCAATTTCATCGCAGCGGCTTGAATTTCTTTTTACGCTGGTGCCCTCGCGATACACGAGGCGCTCTCCTCTTGCGTCCGAAACCCTCCCCGAACTCCCAAAGCTCCTTCTTATCACGAGCGAACAACGTCTCGCATCTCATTCTCTTCCCAAACGAGATTAGTCTCGCACATTCGTATCCCCTCTTCTTTCCGAGCAGTCTCGCATCTCCTCCTCTTCCCCAACACCCTCGTCGAGGTCATCTTCCCAAGCGGTAAGAAAAAATTTTCTTTTTTCCTTTCAATGCTTCGAATCTAAGGAATGGTTCTTGAAATTTTTGTTTGTCTTGTAATTTTTTTTGAGAAGGGTATAATGCATCTTCCCATTTGATTCTCAACACACCCTAATTGAAGAACTCTCTTTTGCCCTCCTTTTGTAGAAGTAATATGCTACATGTGAGGTTAGGTGGCCTCAGTGCAACATTTTCTTAAATGGCCATCAATCCATTCATGCTATATGGATCTTTCTTGTTAAAACATCTCTACTTAGACATTTTTGTAGTAACCATAAAATGTCAAATTTTTAATTAATGTTAATTTATTGTTTCAGAAAATAATTTATTTAATATAAAAAAATATTTTATCTTATGTTATATATATAAATATTACACAGGGACATGATAGTTATTTTTTCAGAAACAGCTGCCCCACAGCTATTTTCACATAGTTACAACAAACAGACAGTCAACTTCCTCGCAGCGCAGTTGAAAAGCTGATAAACTGCAACTGCGCCAAACAGACCCTGAGTCTCGATCATGTTGGTTTAAATTAGTAAATAAGCAAACTTGAACATTTTTTAAAAGCTCAAAGGCTAAATGAAATAAATATGAACAAGCCAATCTTGGACATTTATGTTCATGATCAAACTTGATTGTTGTTCAACAAATAACTTATTAAATCTTTATATTAATTTTGATGATAGCTCGTATCATATATGATATATTATTTAAATAAATCTTCATAAATCAAAATTTATTTAATTATATTCCGTTCACATTCCGTTAACAATGTTGGAATCCCACATCCTTTAACAACGATGACATGCTCATATTAACTTCATGGAATTGCTCTAGGGCCCTTTTCATCTCTTGCCTCTATGACTACTTCAATTAATTATGACAAAAATTGAAAACACACAAAACTTGTGAATATTTTGTTTTGTTTTTACACAAATAATTCATGAAAATGCAATCCTTCTAGCAAAACATATTACTGACTCAACTAAAACCAAAACTTTAAGCGAGAGAAACACAGGTGACTGGACTGAAGACCAAAATTAACCACAAGCAAGAAACGCTGCAGAACTTCCGAAATCCATTTCAGTTATATTAGAAATTAAGGAAAGCAGTTGAAAATTTTTATACCGGTACGTAAACATTAAATGTAATGCAAAATCTGTCCCAAGAAGAACAACTACATTATCAAAAACAACAATGATAGCAATCAGCACAGAAATGCATGAAAGCATGGTCCCAAAAGAATAAAATTACAATAGCTCTTGACTAATTCTAGCAAAATGAATGTCAGCATGTAACCTTTTTCATGCAGTCTTCGGCTTGATCTTCTTGACCCTGGAGTACAGGAAAACTCCAGCGAGTGCAATTCCAGTTCCTGCAAAAAAGACATCAGTTGGAATTTTATTAGAGATCTTCTCCAAAAGGTTGGTCTGAGATCGTTAATGGCAGCAGAAGGTGGTGAAAAACGCTTTACCAATGGAATTGATGGGAGAAACTGGAGTCCTGAAGAAGAGAACTGATGTCACAATAACAACCACTCGTTTCACACAGTTTCCGACTGAGTGGGTTACAGGGGAAACTCTTGACAGAATCATATAGGAAACCTATAGAATTACAAATCACAATATGTTGAATTAGACCTTCTTCTGAACAGAAAATCATTAATGGAAAGTGATGTTTCACAAATTCAATTGATTATTTTCAAACTATTACGGGAATTTACAAACATAGCACACAATTTTTATGTATTTGCATATCTCACACCCGTCTGTTCATATTTATAAACATAGCACATTTGTGCTTTAAACTTATGCATGAAATGGCATATTTTGCTTTTAAAAAGTACTAATAGTTCTTTTTTCATGTGGTATTAAAGATTTGAGTGATATGTGCCTGTGTAAATATGAAAGTTTAGGTGTAAGATATGTAAGTAAATAAGAATTGTGTGCTGTTTGTGTAAAAGCCCCTAAAATTATGTGAAGTAACAAAATTCCACAAAATATTTCATAGTTCAAATTCAGATTCCTGCCACAATCAGAAGGCAAATCTTGCAAAAAGATTTCTAGTGTTTGATTTTTTCTATTATTTTCACATCGACTCTGATCTAGAGGGTGCATCATTAGATATAAATAGTCCCAAATCATGATGTTGGTATTCTTCAGGCAGTGCAATATTTGAAGCAGAAATTCTTGCCCATAACCGCATAAAAAATAGTTTCTGGTACTACCGTATAGAAGCAGAAGTGTGAAAACCAAACTCTAACCTGTTGATAAGCGTGAAAGCATAATCCGGCAAGCAGTGATCTCACGTATAATTGTTTAAGGTTCAAACCCTGCAAAATTTTCAACACAAGGAACAATGAATCTCACTACATTTTAAAAATTAAGTACAGGTGGAATGTAGATATCACAAATTATTACAATAAAAAGTCGTGCACGTCAAGCCAGAAGTGAATGCAACACGCACATGGAAGTTTAGAAGATTTAGATCAGGAATACTCACAGCAGACTGTATGTACGATGGAGTGAACTTGATGCCTTCAACAAAGAATGTGAAAGGGGCTAACAGGAACAGGGACATAATTGTTATAATTGAGAAGAGGTTGATATTGTCCAGAGATTCCTGTTTCAAATACATAATAAAACAAAATTATAACGAGACAAAATTAAGAGAGAACTCAGCCAAGTATGGTATCTAACATCAAAGAGTTCAGATGGACATTGTATTATATAAGCGGGGGGCAACTACATACATATCATCCAATACCTATGTATTCACATATCTTCCACATAAACTTCACATTTGACATTTATGCCACCCAAATCTTTCATATCACAACAAAAATATCATCATTTTAACTTTAAAAAAGTGAAATGCATCTTTTCATGCATAGGTTAGGTGTTAGATATGTAAACGAATGGGAATTGAGTGGTATTTGTGTAAATCTTCCTTTCTAATTTAGCAAAGAACAATCAGATATAGTCCGTGAAATTATCTCTTGTAATAATGGAAGGCTGACATACTTCTCTCTTGACCATGACTTTTTTGCTAAGAACATTACGTGATTGAAATGTCAAATTGGAAGCCATAGCACTCCAAAAGCCTGCCCTGTTTTATGAAAGCAAACTGATAAGAAGACAAAAATTGTGTTCAACATAGAAGTTAACCTATTAGGAAAGTGAGTTCAAATTGAAGCGATTGAAAGTGCAGAAAATAAGTTGAATGAGCACTAAAAATATACTCCTAAAATATTAATAAAAGATTAGATGTCATAATATGGATTCCTAATTGAATTTGGTAATGATAAATTTTCTTACCAGTTGAAAGAAGCTTCTGTCATAGATGCTAGAGCCACGCCACCAACAATCGGTGCAAGAGAAAATAAAACCCAGACGGAAGGTTGCTGCAAACATGAAGTAAAACCATGAAAACACAAAAAATACAGTAACACGTAAATAGGAACTTGGAAATCTCTAAATACATTGCATGCATGCAGACAGCCTTCCAGACTAGAAACTTACTGAGACTTGACTAGGTCAATAACTTGAGCTATGTTTGCTTTTGTTTTCTTTATATTCTTTTTTTTTTTCGTTTTGAAAGAAAAGATGTATTTGGAATATAAAATAAACAAAGAGAAACCCAATCAATTATTTTAAAGTGGTTACGATTAAGAGTATAAAAATACATTTGACAAGTATATAATTTAGAAAGAAGTATTTTAATACTCTTATGTTTTTTAATAAAGAGCATCAAGGCTCTAATTTTATTCCATAAAAAAAAAGATTACAATGGAGTGGCCAAAAGTACCTCTAAACCTCAAAGAAAAAAAAACCAACACAACTCAATCAACAAATAAAAAACCCAAGTACTTGAAGCCACAAACAACCCACACAAAAAGAAAAAAGAAAAAGAATTTTAATACTCTTATTTAGATTTATAAAAAACATGTAAATTAAATTATTAATAAATAATATAAAATTCAGTTATTAAGTAATGAATAAATGATTTTTAGGATCGTCTCGAGTTAACATAAACCAAACTTTCTTAGGGTCAGGCTAGTTAATTCTTCTTATCATGGGCTAACAATAAAGTGTATATAAGCATTTAAAGCAGAACATTTAAACACTACATTGCAATAAACTTAGCTCTCTCTCCCTCTCTTCTTGTAATACCCAAAAATTTCATTAAGGTAATAAAAAAAATTTCTCCTAAAAATTATGCCCTATTCTTCACAAATCTCTAAAAAGATCCAAAATATTTTTATAAAATTCTAAAATTCATTTCAATCATTTTAATATACAGAAGTATATATAAATAACTAAGCATATTAGTACTTATTAAATAATTTCTCATTAAAATTTTAATTAAACTTATTGCATATAGTTTATTGTATTCTCGAGTAAGCTGGAAACGAGGAGGAAAATAAGAAAAGGAAATAAAAAGGGTGAAGAAGAAAAGAGATGAATAAGAGAGGAAAGGAAAATGGAGAAAAATGAGAAAGAGGAGAAAAAGGAGGAAAAGGTGAATAGCTAAAAATTTAGATAAAATATCCAAATTTTTTGGTTTAATCTGCAAATTCAGTTTGAATTAAGTTTGATAAGAATATGGTTTCAATGAGAAGGAATTCTTTCGAGATCGAAATATTTTTTTTTATTTCAGTTATTTTAATTTTGAGATTAACTTTGGATATATTTTGAAGAAATTGATAGTTTTATTAGGTTATTTATAAAAAAACAAGATATCCAAGAAAAAAATTAAAATAAATCTATTCTAATTAAAATCCTATAACTTTGGCAAGATACTCAATCTCTAACATAGAAAGCAATTAAGTTTTAGGTTTGATGCCTTAGAGTGTCTTCATATTGAGCATATCATTAATACCTAATATTGTCGGAAAAGCTACTGCATTTTTATATAAAAATAACCTATTATAAGAAATTTAATGATATTTCTGTTACTAGAGTAATAAGATTGTTTTATATGATGCACATTAAAATACAAGATGCAGGCTTCTACATATCATGCATTTTCTTGAGACACGTTAAAACAAATTGATTGATAACGGATGTATAGAAATGTTGAGCATTTTAAAGAAAAGTATGATAATAAAAAAGCAGTCCGTGAAAGATCATGTTATTTGAGATATATTGCAAATAATGATGACTTCCACAAAGAGAGGCAAAATGCATGATGAGATAAGTCTCAATAGGGGTAAAAAAAAGATTCCTGGCTTTCTATTCTAAAAGTTGGTTCGTTCAATTCTAGCCTTAAATCGAGGGACCATTAAAAACGATTAACCAATAAACTAAGTAACGACTTAATAATATGAATTTACCAAAGCCCATGCATACATCATATGTCACTTCTAAGACTATAAATAGTTAAATAATAGGAAAGCTAGTATTTTCGAACCGGCAATTAACATCTTAGTGAGCTAAATGTTGAATTTAAAATGATGCTTTTATTTCTTTGTAGACAAAGTATATTTAATATATATGATTATCTTTTACTCATTTAATCACAAGAGTTTATCTTACATTAAAATTAACGCATTAGACCAGTCATATCTACAATAAATAATTCTCAAATTAGTTTAATCAACATACATTTTACTGATTCCTTTTCTTGTATTAGAATACTTATCACACTAAACTTTTAGCTCATTAGATATTATAGATTATTTCTTAAGTTAAAAAAAAGGAGCATGTGGGTCTATAGTAAGATGACTCAATTTGACCTTCTATAAAAGTTTTAGTTGCACAAGTTTTGAATATAATAAAAATAATGAACATTATGAAAATTAAAACCTACTTCTGGTATGTTTAAATTTTCTATGAAGCTCTATAGTCCATCTTGATAATTCAAATTATGTGCTTCTATATCAATACTATGGTAAATTTATCTGGATGATTTAAAAAGTGCAATTTTGTCCTGTGATGATCTCAACAGACTAATTTTCTACTCATTCTTGATTAGTCAAGTTAAGATGGGTGTTGGTAAAAAATGTCTGACTGAATTGTCCTAGAGTTGTCCTGTTGCTACTCCCAGCAAACCCAATCAATCACAATTGAGTTCCCCAAGAAGTTCTATCTTTTGAGATCAAAGACAAAGGTTGCTTGATGAGCATTTTGGAATAGCAATACATTTCAACCAATAGTGGCAATGCATTGTCATTTTATCGACTACAGGCAAGGACATGTTGGTCGCAGTTATAACAGAGTTCAACAATAGAAGAGGATAAGATAACAACATACTACACTACTATATAGAGCGATATTGACATGAATGACAACTAAGTGCTTCACATGGGCTTGGTCGGTGCATAAGAGCGAAAGCAGGAATACACCAAAGAAGGTCAAGGAAAGAGCACAAATTGATGGCATAAGCTCCACAAGAGAAGAGTCAGAGATCAGCATTGTTCTCATTGCATAAGATTTTGTTGGGGAATTCTTACATAAGATGTAAATAGAAGAAATAAGAAAATTTTCCAATAACATTTGAATGCTTGCTTGATTTTAAATTTTGCATGGAAGTGCATCAAACATTTTCTTTAATTTAATTTACGTTAATTTTTTCCTTTAAATATATGAACTCTGTGGTCCAGTCACTATGTTCATAATTTTTTCTTCAACTTAGGATTGAAAAAGAAGATCGACATAACAGAAAATTGTAGGAAGGATAAAACTATAAGCTAGCTAAAGTTTTACTGAAACCATAGTTAATTTTGAAGGAAGTTTATATTAGTTAATTCAAGGACTAAGACTACTTGCTATTCTGCAACAGGCATTAATGAGCAGATGAAGCATAGCAGATGTCCTAGGCATTGCAATTTTCTGTTCCCTTTTATGTAGTGAGGAGCTGATTGCGGCTGGGTTCTATTTAGCATACGACCGTGGCACTGGTAGTTACAATTGAAAACAGCCATGTGCTGCTAGATAGGCATCATTTCCTATTCGACTACTGAAAATTTGGCATCATTTCATATTATCTGGAAATTGTATTAATTCAACTAGTTTATTTTGTTGGAAATCAGGTTTTGTTGAATCAAAACTCCCATTTTAAAGTCAAATTTTACAATTACAAGTAAATACCAATTCTGAGTATATTTTTTTTTATTAATAGGAGACCTGCAAGCATGTAAAATTTGGTCATGGAGTGAAAAATAATCAGATTTCCTCAAAAGCTTGGATCAAGGATTAATAAAAATTCAGAGTTTATGCTTATATCGACTGGAGACTCGGATCTTCTTTGGTAGCTTGTACACTTTTCTTTCTCATCTATATACTTTTGAAACTGGTTTTACATGTATGATAGAGATTTGGTGAAGCCTTTTATGAATTAATTTTATTTTCTGGTGTAAACCCTAATCATTGTGTGATCTTATTTTGTTCTTAAATTTATAGCAAACTTTTAGATTTTAGAAAACCTTTAAATTATAATTTAAATTGAACTTTACATATTTTTTATTTAAGCTTGGCGTAAAATACAATCATAATGTTAAAACTAATACAGTATATTTATGTTACAAATCCCTATAATCATGTAGCCCATCTATATGGTCAATATCACATTTTTATGATTTGTTTACTTTCAATTTTCAATACCAATTTTCATTATGGGTTCCTCTTAGTATCCCTTAGGGTGCATATTAGTATGTCAAATCATTACTGGCTTTGCATCATAATATTCACAAAAAAACTTAACTCATAAGTATAATGATCCTAACTGTTTTTTTGATCAAAATCAGAGATATGAGAAATCCAAATCCTATGATAAAGTAATAGTGCATTTAAATGTAAAAAGACTTCCTCCATAACTAGTGAAAAATAAAATAATAAAAAATATATGGCCATATAAAATCATGTAGTGCGTTACGACAAATGTTTTATGTTAAGCAATGATTGCTTTTGTTAAAAACTCTAATATGTTTTGGTATCAGTCTAGGTTGCAATATATTTGATTTGACTATATTTATATGAAACTATTACCAATGTTTTTTATTCTTCTCTCTTTCTCCACCTTATAAATTCAAATCCAATAATTTATCAGATACACCTAATCATCTTATTCTAAAAGCTATTTTACAAACATATATTGTGCCAACTCTAGATGGCAACTATTAGAGATATACTGTGTTTTGGGATGGAAACCCTACTAGTCATTGTTCATGAATTACTTTACAATAAGCACAATAATTAGACTTAAATTTGCTAGATGAGTATCAAATACTTGATCAGAGATAAACTTTTCAAGCCAAATAGATTGTTGAGGAATCTCATCCCACTCATAGCTCATATTTGTCAATAGTTAATAGTGCATCATATAGCAATGACCGTCAAGGAGTCATAGCACATAGCATATGATACAATGCACACTATTTTAAATATGATATACATTATTAAA